CGCGGCCAGCGTGGGAGCAGGTAACGGACAAGAAGCGTTCGGAGTCGCCGGAGCACTACTGGATGGCGGGCGAGCGACGATCCGCCTGGGCAGATCGTGCTGGGTCCGCGCGACCGTCATCATCGGCGGCGGCGGCGGTGCCAGTGTCGCCGACCCAGAGCCCGACGAAGAACTGCGCGGGCGGCGAGGGCGCGGTCAACGTCGAGGCTCCGTGGGAGAGCAGCAGGCGCCAGTCAGACCCGGAGGTGCTGAAGAGATGCGGCATGCCGTGTGGTGTGGCGGATTGCGCGCGCGAAAGTTTCGGCGCGTGTGTTGGCCGAGAGGGGCGCGCCAGGAGCTCTCGGTGTTGTCCCGATGCGGCGACCGCGGCGACGCTCAGTGGGGCGGGCGGCAGTGGCTGGATGGCAAGTAGAGCGTGGGTCCCAAGTGAAGGCGGAACGACCGCCCGCGTGCGAGCTGAAGGAGTGCGCATTTCGGTCCAGGCTGACTGCCGAGCGCCAGTGAAGATAAGTGCATCGGGGGCGCCGGTGACGGGCGGAAAGCGTGACGTCCCAGAAAATACGATCAGGCTCTGCAATTCACCAAGCAGGAGTGGCCACCGGGCGACCCCAGACGGTGCAGGAGATGCCCCGATGGCGGAAAGGTGCGAGGTTACAGGAACCAGTGCGCCATCGCGTGCATGTGCGACTGCGGTGCGCGAACGGCATTTTTTCCCCCCCGACGAGCAAGAAGTGCCATCGCGGACATATCGAGCGGTATTTCACTTCCATGTCGACCGAGGGGTCCGACGATCGCGACATCGAGAAGTTCGCGGCCGTGGCTGACGTCGCAGCCGACTAGAGCGAGTGCGATGATGACGAGATCGCGCGTTTGGACGCGATGTGCACGGGCGCCATGCACGGCGACGAGGTGCTGGAGCGGTACTCGGCGAAGCCGAACCAGAAGTACGGTTTGTGTGTCGAGTCCCGCCCGCGCAAGGTGATGTGCCGCTCTGGCGGCGGAGAACGCTGCCGATCGGCGCCGGTGGAGAGAATGGGGGGATAAGTTCCAGTCGGGTCCCAGGGTCACCTACGAAGATGCCGCTGTCGCTCAAGACGTAGATGGCGCCGGGCATGGTCATCGACCTAGTCGAGGGTGGCGGACTGCAGGGAGCTCGGCCTCAGTGGGGTGAAGCTGCGGAGGACGAGTGAGGGGCGCTGAGGCGTGAAGATCACTGACCTTGCCACCGGGGGCATCGACCGACCAGAGCGGCTGGGGAAGGAGACGGTCGCGGTACTGAGCCCGGATGATGTGGTTCATCAGGCCGCGGGGGCGTCGACGGAAAGGCATCGGTGGGCAGCTTGCCCATCCGCGAGGTGGTTCGACGGGCCGCGACGGCAGGCAACGGCTAGAGCATCCGACAGGAACGAGCGCAAATGTTCAGTGACGAGGAGGGTGCTTGGGCCGCGGTGCGCGGCGATCGGCGAGGACGAGGGGCGCGTCATAAGGGGGGGCGCGGAGTTGTCTTAGGCCTGCCCAGACCTTCGTTGAGGACCTGTTCTGTGGGATGCTGGGGGCCGCGTGGTACGCGCGCAGCCGCGGTCATGGACGTGCCCGTGCCCCAGCCGGACGGCATCCTGGACGGTTTCGACTACTCCGACCCGTCGAGCCAGGGGCGGGTGTTCGAGCAGATGGACCGTGACGACCCGTGGTTGACGATCGCCCCGTGGCCATGTGGACCGTGGGGCGGCTGGTCCCGCTTCCAGATCGCGCGCGCAGGGTCGCTCGCGGCGCGTGGAGGAGAAGCGGGAGAAGGCGCGGCCGTTGTTGGAGCTCGGTGCGAGAGTTGCCGAGCGCCGCGATGAGCGTAGGGGTCTTGATGGGGAATCCGTGGGCGAGCGACGCCTGGGCGGGCCCCGCGCTGGAGGAAGTGCTGATGGACCCAGAGATGGAATTCGTTCGCGGAGACATGTGCGAGTGGAACCTCAGGGGCGCCGAGAGCGTCCGGCCCTGCCTGAAGCCCAGTGGGTTCGCGGTGAACAAGGGCGTGCTCGCGGAGAGGCTCACGCGGATATGTGATGCGCGACGTCGGCGCGAGGTGATCGAGGGCCGCGATGCAGACGGATCCCGAAGTGTGCAAGCGGGGCGGTGCCCGCTGCAGCAGGCGGAGGACATCTTGCTCGGCGCGCGCGGGCAACTGCTCGAGAGGCACTGCGTGCAGCTCGCGTTTGCCGCGGAGGTCGAGGAGCTCAGCGAAGGGACTCGCAGGGGGCCAATGCGTGGAGGCTCCGCCAGTGTCGATGCGGCCCGCGAGGTCGCCGACGAGTCTGGGAGCTGCATCTCCGTGACTCACAACGATTGGCTGGACGTCGAGTTCGACCCGAGGAGTCTCTCCCGCGAGGCGCAGATACGACTGACGGGAGATCGCGAGACTGTGGGCGTCGACGAACACGGAGAGAGTATCCATGGGCGGGGCGACCGGGCCAATTCTGCTCCGCCCATGTCGCGCCGGCACGGCGCAGCTATTTTGCGTTGCGCGCCGAACGAGTCCGTCGAGGGCGAGCGGCCAACGGCAGCTCTTCCAGGGGGGTCTACCTCTCCAGACGTCGGCGCGATGCCAGCGCCGCCATCACCTCCCCCGCGCGATGAACCACGACGACCCAGAGACGAAGAGTCACGCAAGGCATGGAAGGAAGTGGATGTAGGCCTACGCCGAGCACTACTACACCCACACGCGACAGCAGGGCACCCGTCGAACGAGGCGCTCAAGAGGCTGCTGTGGCACGGTCGTGCCACGCCCAAGGCTGCTAAGGCCGCTGGGCATTTGTGGCGCAGCGTGTGCGCCGGTCTGGTGAGCCCAACTACGTCGAGACCTACCAAGCTGCCGGTGACGCCGCGCGAGTTCAACTACCTCATCGAGAGCGACGTCCTCGAGGGGCGCGCAGCCATCGGCACTCGAGTCTCGTTCCTCAACGCAATGTGCTTCGGGGCAGCGTGCTAGCAGGTAACTCCGTTGCGCTGCGGTGTGTGTGTGGGGGGGGGGGGGGCGCCCTGCGCGGAAGGAGATTCGAGGCGCTCATGTCCAGGTGGGCGTCGTGGGCAGGCGCGCCCAACCGAGTGTTCATGGGCCAGGCCTGTGACGACGTGGCCTGCGTCAGGGAGCAGCTGATCGCGCGCGAGGTGCGCTGTGAGTTCGCCAGCTGGAGCAGCGCCGCCGCCTCGGGCGACGTGAACGAGGTGGCGGTGTTTGGAAGGAACTGGAGGCGCGCGTGCCGCGGCCGGCAGCTCAGCGCCGAGGGCCGCGTGGAGATGCGCGCGGCATAGACGAACAAGGCGAAAAACTCCATCATGCGGAGAGGCGGTTTCGCGCCAGTGAAGTAGGTGCTCGACCGTGGCTCGCGGATTCGCAGGCAGCCTGGTTGACCCCGTGGAGGCGAGCCGTTTGGACACGCGCGAGGCCATCTTGACGCTCGGGAGGGTGATGGCCAAGCAGGTGGCGCAGAGATGCTGCGCGCAAGGCGTATATCGAAGTGGACAGCGACGACCGCGCGAGACGAGCGATGTTGGCCCGGAGTCGGCCGATGAGAGGGCCGAGGCCGTTGGGGAGTTTCGTGCACTTCTACCGCGAGCAGCGTCCAGCTACTAATCAGCACCCAGCAGTTGGCCGCTGGCACGGCATGTGCAGGGTGATTGGCCGCGAAGTTCCGAGCGGCGACGCTGGGCGGCCCCAGGGCCGCCGCGTTTGGTTGAGCTGCCGGGGCCAGCAGGTCCTCGCGGCGACGGAGCAGCATTGCTGGGCTACGCCGGAAAGGGTTCTCGCCTGGAACATCCCAGGGGACGTGGCGAATGAGGTCGTTGCCGATCATCGGACGAGGGTCGCCTATGCGGACGCCCGTTGGGGGCTGACTTTCCCCGGGGAGACCAAGGAGAGCGAGGGGCAGGCGGGCGCCGAGGAAAGCAATAGGATAAGTCGGATGCGCCGATCGCGGTGGTGCCAGTGCCCGAGCCGGAGCCGACGACCATGGAGACCGACGACAGGAACGAGCGCGAGGATGAGCAACCAAGCGGATAGGAAGATCCAGGCGCCAACGCGACTGGTGGCGCCACGCCTGGACGCAGAGGGCGAGAGGTCGACCGGCGAGGGTGAGATGCATTTTCTGTTGCTGGGCGACGTTGGTGGCCAGGGGGCAGATTTCGTTCGACGCGGGCGCGCATTGGTTGGCCCGACGTCGGCTCCTACGAGCGCGGCGCCAGGAAGAGCTGGAAGCCAGGGCGGCGCTCGTCGCGGAAGGCCAGAACTACGAGGCGCGCGACCGATTGTGGATCCGTTTCTTGACCGAGCGCAGGAGGCAAATCGAGATGCGTGCGCGGTGAAGGCTGCAGGAAAGCCAGACTCTGGAGAGGCAGCTGGGGAGACGCATGGATATGCCCGTGCGGTGCGAGCTCGAGGAGCGAGAGATCCCGAAGCACTTGAAGGAGGCGCTCGATAATGCCAAGAAGAATGACAGGAGCAGTTGGTGTCATTGCGACACGGTCGAGTTCTTCAGCGCGAAGCAAGTCCGTGAATTTCTGCGGCATGTGCAAGCGGTGCCGACGCGATTCGTACTTGCGGGCGAGAGCGAGGCGATGTGCGCGGACGAGAACCTCCCCGTCAAGCTGAGAGCAAGACTTGTGGTGCTGGGCAATCTGGAGAAGGACTCCAACTACCGACGGGACGCTCCAATTGGGAGCCTTCTTGTTCAGCGCGTGCTACTGACCTGGGCGGCATCAAGTGGAGGAGGACGTGATGGGCCAGCTCGCGTGGTGCGTAAGATGGGCGCCAAGAGCGCCTACCTGCCGGGGGGCGTCATCGATCGCGCGAGCTCTACCTCGGGCCACCGTCTGGTGGCATGTCCGGAGCTTCCTCTTGAAGAATCACTGCTGCGTGCGAGCGTCCCGCCCTATGGCGCGGGCGACGCCGCGCGCGGGTGGTGGGGGAAGACCCGCAAAGGTCTCCTCACCCGCAAAACTGGAAGATGAGCGTCTTGGAGCCAGCGCTGTTCCACCTGCGGCTTGGAGGAGAGCTGGTCGGCATGTGCTCGACGCGCGTCGACGGCATCTTTATGGCGGGCTACGGCAAGCACTGCGAGGACGGCCCCAAAGCCTTCAAGAGCCTGGTGGACCTCGACCAGGACGAGGTGCTGAAGTTCCGGCACTGCGGCAATGCGAGCGAGCAGGGCAGCGACAGGACTGTGGAAATTAGGCAGAAGGAGTGCGCCAATAACATCGCCCATATCCAGATCGCACCGAGCAGGAAGCGACATCGGGATACAGCGCATTCTCCAGCCGAGGCTTCCACGCTAAGCGGGCGCGTCGGAAATCTATCATGGTTGCAGCGACAGACAAGGCCGTATCTGTCTATTGCGAGTTCGACCGGACAGTCGGCTTTCGCGTCGCCGACGGTGAACGACCTGTTCGTATGCAGCAAGGCGGTGAAACAGGCGCGCGAGTTCGCGAATCGGAAGGTCATTTTTCGTTGGGGTTTTGTGGACTTTCAGAGTGCAGGCGCGTTCGCGAGCACGGGCTCGGCGTGCGCGAATGTCCAGGGCGTCGCGCTGCAGCGCGGACAGGGCGTCGAGGCCGCTGGCCTCAGGGCGGAGCCCTTCCGCAGACAGTATTTGCGAGTGGTCGGACCGATGACGCCGCCCGACGTGAACGGGATCGCGAAGATGTGCGTCAAGGAGTGGAAGAGTCAGGTCGAGAAGCGAGTTTGCAGGGGCACCCTGGCGGCGGGAACGTCTGCGTTGGCGAAGGGCGCTGAGATGGCAGATTGGCTCAGGGCGGTGTTGCTCGAGAGTCGTGACCCCGAGTCCCAGTTTGCCGAGTGGGGGAAGTCGAGCGAAGGAGGTCCACGCACTGTGGATGTGCGATGCGAAGAGCGTGGTGGGCCACCTGAGCAAGGACGTGGGCGCGTCCCAGGACAAGCGCGTAGGCATCGAGCTCGCGGCGCTGAAGCAGCTACTGGCGTGGGTTGGAGATGAGCTACGTTGGGTGGGCGCCGGCGTGATACTGACAGACCCTTTGACTGAGTGAGATGCGCTGGGCGACGAGGTCCTCCAGCGGGTGTCGTACAGCAGCGTGCAGCAACGAGTGCAGCATCAACGCCAGCGCGGAGATGAAGGAGTTCAAGGACCGCAAGGCGGCGATGAGGCGGGACTTTAAGACGAGGCGTACGGCAGGCTTAGTCGGAGCCGAGACGAAGCACCATGCGAGCTCAGGCGGAGAGCAGGAGTCCACGTGAGTGAGAGATGAGCTCGGATTTCAGTTCCTGCGTTCACTTCATCATATTTTCTCGTGCCAGCAGGGCGTTGAGTTTCATGTGCGGCAGATCCCATCGGTTCCTGCCTTTCTTCATATCGCGTTGGTCAGGGCGTTTTCTGTATGTAAGAGGGGTGCGACTCATTATCCCTCTCTAAGAATGCAAGGCTCTCTCTCTCTCACGCTCATGTTGCTGTGTGCCAGCATTGATGCATGCGTGCCGCTGCTGTTTCTGGCTCTCTGTCTGCCGACAGGTGGCCCCTTTGAGCTTTGCTACAGTGCGACCATGATCGAGCATTGATCGCGGGCGTCCATCTCAGCAGTCGGTGGCGCTGTGTGGCGGGGACGCTTGTCACTACGGCGCTGTTGAAGAAAAGTGTATTTCACATTGGCATACCCCTCACACGTCACGTGGCCCCACAAGGGGCCTCCCCTCCTTCGTCTTGCCTGTCATGCATATATATATATATGAGTATGGACATTTATATATGTATAATAGTTCATTATTTGTTGTTATACATATGTATATTCTATATATATGGGATCGAACATTGACATGAACATAAAGACCCGGACGTCCGCGCGGATTTTTCGGATCCGCGCTTAACCCCCCTGGCGGCGCCTGTGGCGCCGCCCCTGGCGCGCTCCGCGCGCCAGGGAAGGGGGTTCAGCGCGGATCCGCAAAATCCGCGCGGACCTCGGAGCTTCTATGTTTATGTCATTGTTCGTTACCCTACTCCCTCTCTCTCTCAGTTTCTGCTCGGGTGCTGGAGGAGTGGGCATTTGTGTGGGAGCATGCAGAGGGAAGTGGCAGAGTGGAGCGGCACAGTTGTGCCAGGCCCTCCTCTCCTCTCGTCCTGTTCGCCTTTCGAGCCATCCAGCTTGTTGGCGATGCTCCGAGCAGAGGGTTGTGAAGGGTTGACGAGGTATGACGAGAATGCGCAGGGGATAGTCCAGGAGGGGAAACAACGCACAAACACAAATAGACGTCGATTCCCCGGAAAATATAGGAAACTATGAGAAGTAGGGAGGAAGACGAAAAGCCAGAAAAACTGGGGAATCATTGGATTTGTATCTATTTATTTGTACGTCCCTGGGCCACTTAAATGGTTTGATGGTCTGCCGTGTACATGGTGCTGGACTGCTGGCAAGGGGAGGGTCAGAGGTCTGACAGCGGGGGTGGCGCCCGAGGCTTTCATCCGCACCGGGACTGTGACCGTGGAGGCGATCTTACTCTTATTTTTTTCTTCTATTTCTCTAGTGCCTGCGTGAGACCGACACGCTCGTGGTCGGTGCTGAAATCAAGTAGATTCGTGTGGCATCGGACCCACGTGCTGTCCACCACGTTTGGACACACACACACACACACTTTGAGCGTCGCGTCCACGCGACGCTCGAAACCGCAGCACGCAACGCGTCGGGCCCTCAAGCCGCTCAGAGCGAGCAGCGCCGCTGTCAGCCAGAAGTCCTCGTGGCATTTCGGACACACACGCACATACATACATATCTAGATGTACACATACATCCGTACACACAGGATCCCGGGTCGAGGGTTCACAGGCCCCCCCCAAATGGGATGGGTCCCAAGGTTCAACAAGCCCCCCCCCAGATGGGATGGGGAGGGGGACGCCGACTCCGACGCCGACGCCGACGCCGACGTCGACGCCGACGCCGACGCCGACGCCGACGCCGACGCCGACGCCGCCGCCGCCGCCAACGACGACGACGACGATGACGACGACGAACCACACCACACCCACAGGGGGAGGGAGGGGGGTGCACCGGCACCCTCCACCACGCAACGCCCACAGGGCCACGACCACAGGGAGAGGGGGGAACGATCCCATTCGCGAGGCCTTCGCGAGGCTGACGGGCGTACCCATCCAGCGGGGGGGAGGTCGATGCCATATGCGGGTGGCGAGGGGGGGGCGTAACCCTGGATTACATACACATGTATGTATGTATGTATGTATGTATTTATTTATTTATTTATTTAGTTAGTTATTTATCTATGTATGTAATAATGTATGCATGCATGCATACATGCATGTATGTATGTATGCTCTCATGCATGCATGCATGCATGTATGCATGCATGTATATATGTATATATGTATGTATGCATGCATGCATGCATGCATGTATGTATGTATGTATGTATGTATGTATGTGTATGTACGTATGTAAGTAGGTATGTATGAATGTATGCATGCATATGTGTATGTATGTATGTATGTATGTATGTATGTATGCATGCATGCATGCATGCATGCATGTATGTATGTATGTATGTATTCATGCATGCATGTATGTATGTATGTATGTATGTATGCATGCATGCATGCATGCATGCATGCATGCATGTATGTATGTATGTATGTATGTATGTATGTATGCATGCATGTATGTATGTATGTATGTAATGTGCGTACGTACGTATGTATGTATATATGTCTGTATGTATGCATGCATGCATGTATGGGTATGTATATGTATGTATGCACGTATTCATACATATATATATATATATACACATATAGATATACATATACATATATATACATATATATATATATGTATGTATTTGTACAATCACATGTTTATACACATACTCATGAATATGATATCTAGTGGCCTTCGGCCCATCCCGCCGCAATACCCGGGCTGTGATTATAAAGTCTAACGGATGTTCGTTGGGGGAGGCCTCTCGGTGGCCTCTTGGAGGCAGTTTGGAGGCCTCTTGGGGGCCGTTTTGGTGCATCTTGGAGCCTGTTTTGGGCCTCCGAGGGGCTTCTTGGGGCCTCTTGGGGGCCTCTTGCGGGCCTCTTGGGGGCCTCTTGGGCGCCTCTTGGGGCCTTCTGGGGGCCTCTTGGGGCGGAAGCGTAGGATTTTCGGTTCGTGTGTCCTCTATTGGGCCTCTTTTGGGTCCGTCTTGGGGCGCCTCTTGAGCCGTCTTGGGCCCCTCTTCGGCCGTCTTGGGGCGCTCTTATGCCGTCTTGGGGCTCTCTTAGAGGCCTCTTGGGCCTCTTGGGGTGGCCTTGGGGGCCTCTTGAGCCGTCTTGGAGCGTCGGAAAACAGAACAGGCGAGAACGCCACAATTCTGCAAACACCTGGAGAAAATCACTGCTTACTCCCTCTTGGGGCCCTCTTGGGAGGCCTCTTGGGGCGCCTCCGATGCCTCTTGGGCCGTCTTCGGGCCATCTTGGGCATCCTGCGCCAATCGTTCGGCGACTCGGGGCACTCTTGGACCGTCTTCGGGGCCTCTCGGAGCCCTCTTGGCCCGTCATGGGGCCCTCTTGGCTTCGGAAGACAAGTCGCGCGAGAAGCCGCGGGAAGCCCTGGGGTGCACGCGGGCAGCCCCGAGAGATGTGGCAATGTGGGGTCTGGGCCCCTCAAAGACTCCTCGGGAGTGCCTCAGGGATTTGGCAACGAACCGGAGGACACGCTCACTCCGTGCCCAGCGGCACGGTGGCGGATATACATATATGTGTATATATATATATATATATATATCTATAGATGCATATTTGTATATACATATATACGTAGTTTCTTCCATGGAAAATCAGCCTGCCTCGGCCCGCCAAGCACTGACGCTCAGCAGTGGGCCCAAATTATTCGAAACTATCCGTCTCAGTGGAGACAGCTAGTGAAGATGATGTGCATTTCCGGGATGCCTCTCGACACCCCTGGCCTAAAGAGCCATGCTTCCTCTCAGGCTGCTAGGTTCAGATGCCCGACGTGTCACGCGAACTTCGCTACGGAGACAGCACTCGCTTCTCACCAGAGGGCTAAACATAATATTCGGCCCCCTCTCTTACAGTTTCTCCCCTCCTCGGGCGTGTGCCCGGTATGCTGGATCAAGTTCGCATCCCGTCCACGTTTGCTTGGCCATGCAATAGATCCCTAGCACCGCGGCAGACGGTCCATAGTGTGCAGAGACATGTTTCTTGCTGGTCTTGTCCCTCCGTTGCCCTCTCACGAAGTTGAGGCCGCGAATGCCGAGGACAGAGCTTTGAGAGGCGCCGCCCAGAAGCAGGGGCTGACACGGCCTCGAGCCAGCCAGCCAGCAAAGAAACGGGCGCTCCCCTCAACGGTTCCCCCCCCACCGATGCCCACTTCGGAGGGGCTTTGAGTACCTTGAGGGCGGTCCCCCTCTTCTCCCCAATGCCATAAAGTGGGAGGAGGGAAGACCGCGAAGGCGTCTGCGAGGTAAGGTTCGCCTCGCCGCCGTCGCCCTCAGCCAAGCCCAGGCTTGCTGAGGCTACCTTGCATGCTCTGAATTCTATATGGTTTCCCGTCTAACGTTGCCTACACTATACGTGGCACCCCGCAGTTGCGGATAAGAGTGGGGGGGCGGCGAGGAAGTCGTCAGTCTGCGAGGCTCTGAAGAAGCCCGCCGCAGGCGCTTAGTTTTTACAAATTATGCAGTGAGCCCGCCGCAGGCGCCGATTTCTTCATTAGAGCAATGTGGGTGGATCGAGGGGTGGGTCGCGGGTGGGTCGCGGGTGGGTCGCGGGTGGTCGCGGGCCGGGTCGCGGATGGGTCGCGGGTGGGTCGCGTATGGGTCGCGGGTGGGTCGCGGGGTGGGTCGCGGGGTGGGTCGCGGGGTGAGTCGCGGGTGGGTCGCGGGGTGGGTCGCGGGTGGGTCGCGGGGTGGGTCGCGGGGTGTGTTGCGGGTTGGGGCGCGGGTGGGTCGCGGGGTGGGTCGCGGGGTGGGTCGCGGGTGGGTCACGGGCAGGTCACGGGGTGGGTCGCGGGGTGGGTCGGGGGTGGGTCGCGGGGTGGGTCGCGGGTTGGGTCGCGGGTGGGTCGCGGGCGGGTGGGGGGGGACGACGACAACAACAACAATAATCATTTTACCCTCATGCGCGATGTTTCCACACGAAGCATGCGACCATCATGATAACCATCGACATCATGGGGGACTCTTGTTCTACAGCGTGGTCCGTTATTTCCATTCTCAGGTCACCCGCCCAGTTGAGGTCATGCAAACACAGGAATTTCGACATATTCCGCCTCGAAACACATGCCCGCGCCTTGCTGCGCCGATGCGAGACCGCCAGTGGAACCCCAGCGAAAGGTAAAACACAAGGAAGTATCGAACGACAGGATTACCTTGGTGGGGATGGGGGCTGTCGGCGGTGAGGCAAGGACCTGGCCCTGAATAGAAAGGGAGAAAGTCTCGAACAGGGCTGCTGCTGTTGCTGGGAGCTGCGCCAATGGTGAAGAGAGTAGGGCGCTAGTCCAGCGTAAAACGGAAGGACGTCTCGAGCGGGAACGCTGTTTTTGTTGGGACGTCGGCTTTCGGCAGCGAGGAGGAACACCGCCTTGACTAAGAAAGGAGGAAGCATCGTGCGAGAGCCATGGTTTTGTCGGGACGAGGGCTGTCGGCGGCGAGGAGCAGCACCGTCCCGAGGAAACAGAAAGGACATCTTGAGCGGGAGCGTTGTTCTCGCTGGGAGCGGCGCCAATTCAAAAAAGAGTAGGGCGCCAGTCCAGCGTAAAACGGAAGGAAGTCTCGGGCGGGAGTGGTTTTGTCGGGGGGGGGGCGGTTTTCGGCGGCGAGGAGGAACACCGCCTTGAGTAAAAATGGGGGAAGTCTCGAGCGGGAGCCGTGGCTTTGTCGGGACGGGGGTGAGATGGGAAAGGAAGTCCAGCGTACACCGGAAGGAAGTCTCGGGCGGGAGTGGTTTTGTCGGGGGGGGGGCGGTTTTCGGCGGCGAGGAGGAACACCGCCTTGAGTAAAAAGGGGGGAAGCATCGAGCGGGAACCGTGGCTTTGTCGGGACGGGGGTTGTCGGCGGCGAGGAACAGCACCGTCTTCAGGAAAAAGGGAGGAAGCCTCGAGCGGGAGCGTTGTTCTTGCTGGGAACGGCGCCGATTCAAAAGAAAATTGGGCGCGAGTTCAGCGCAAAACGGAAGGAAGTCTCGGGCGGGAGCGCTGATTTTGTCGGTGCGGCGGTTTTCGGCGGCGAGGAGGAGCGCCGCCTTGACTAATAAAGGGAGGAAGCCTCGAGCGGGAGCGTTGTTTTGGCTGGGGGCGGCGCCGATGAGAGAAAGACTAGCGCGCCAGTCCAAGGTAAAACGGGGGGAAGTCTCGAGCGGGAGCGCTGTTTTTTTTAGGATGGCGGCTTTCGGCGGCGAGCAAGAACACCAACCCTAAGTAACAAAGGAGGAAGTCTCGAGCGGGAGCGTTGTTGTTGTTGTTGTTGTTGTTGTTGT